ATTTAGTCAAGTCTAGCAACACCATACAGCCTACTTTTACTGACTTTGTATACTAAATCCTGATCCCCTACTGATCATTTTCAAGTTAGTGTCGCTTTTTATGTTCATAGTCGCGTGACCTTGATTTCTAAAACTGAGTTATTTAAATGTAAACAATGCCTGCGCTTGGATCATAAATATTGGGACACTGGTTTACCTACACTACCGCATGAAAACCTTAAGTATACGTTAATCACTCACCGAAATAACGAGATAGAACACACTTCGGTGACCGCCCATGTGTCAGGAACGTAGAGGGGCGCTCTCGGGAAGCCCCCGATTACACTACCGCATAAGCGCCTGGGTGCTCGCAGGGGAACCCTTGGCGCTTTGGGCCGTGCAATATACGGGGCGCAGGCAGTTGCGCCTGTTGAAGATTTAACGCTAAATATAGTAGTATCCCTTAACCGCTATATAGGACGCACGATTAACGGATGCCAAGTGCTAACATTGCCGCTCTGGAACTCTGGGTGCGAAATTATGTATTGACGAAAATCGCACCCTCCCGGGCGCCGCTAATATAAAATTTTAATTATTTTGTTTACAGAAACCTTCTCGGAAGTATTCTCATCAACTCTTTAAAGTTTTATAGCACTCGGATGAAAGGTGTCGAAGCACATCTGACTTTCATTTTTCTCTAATATGCCGTATATAGAGCAGAACCGTACCCTCCCGGGACGCCACCCTTGCGAAATAAAAAAAAATAGATTGTTTTACAGAAACCTCCCCTGGAGTGTTCTAATCAGCTCCCCAAAGTTTCATTCATCAGAGTGAATGATGCAACTTGTTAGCGTTACTAATGATGTATTATTAGATGCTCGATCTCAATTTCTGATTGGATCTTCTAAAAATAGATGCTAATTGCATCATTCGTAAAGTGACGAAACTCTACAGGATGGTTCCTAGATTTATAAAATTTATTTTTTCAACATTCGCAAGATGACGAAACTGTATAGAAGGATTTCCTCGCCTTACAAGGTAATTTTGAGAAGTGTGACTTTATTTTTAGATTTGAGTCATCCACATAAAGTGTGTGTGTATAGTGAACAATCGCACCCTCCCGTGGCGCTGCCCGTACGAAATTTTAAAAAATATTTTTTACAGAACGCTTCCCTAGAATGTTCTCATGAATTCATCACAGTTTCATGTCTATCGGATGAACTGTTTCAAACCAAAATCGACTTTTATTTTTTATATACCGTACCTAGATAAAAATCGCAACCTTCCGTAGCACCGCTCTTGCAAAATTAAAAATAAAGTTTATTTTTTTACAGAACCCTTTCCTAGATTGTTTTAACCAACTCCCCAACAATTGATGGAGATCGGATGAACGGCGAGAAACCGCAATCGACTTTTATTTTTATATACCGTACATATAGAAAAAAAAATTTCGCGCCCTGCCGTGGCGCCACTCCTGCGAATTTGATTTTTTTTTCCAGAAATATTCACAAAAACTTCCCAAAGTTTCATGGCAATATGATGAGAGGTGTAGTAATGCATAAGAGACAGACACACAGACATATATTGCTTTATATATATATATATATATATATATATATATATATATATATATATATATATATATATATATATATATATATATATATGTATATATATATATGTATATATATATATATGTAGATAGATAGATAGATAAAATGATAATATTCAATTTTATTTTGCGTTGGAACATATTATAAATCATATCAAAACATAATATACCTTTTAGTTGTTGAATCTCATTCTGAAGTTCCAGCTCTCGTTTGGCTTGCATATCTGCTAAGGACTTTTGAATGGTCTGAATTTGTTGAGTGTGAACAGCTTTTAAACTTTCTATGTTTGCTTGTAGATTCTTATAACTTTCTTCTTTCAGAGCTTTCAAATGTCGATCAAAGTCGTCTTTTGTGCGCTTTTCGCGCTCTTTGGCAGCTTTTTCATTCAATCTCATTTGCTCCAGTATCTCTGTTTTTTCAGCTTGAGTTGCATTTATCAGCTTTTCTGAGAGTTTATTTTTTTCTTCTGCTTGCACGCGTCTCATTGTTTCTTTTTCTAATTGATGCTGTTTAACAAGTTCTGTTCTGATTTTGATACTATTTCTCTTCTCTTCTGCAGTTTTCTTTACCTCAGCCATAAACAACTCTACTTTATTTAGATATTTCTTTAAATGATTTAGTTCTCCCGTCTTATTGTCTGCATCTTCAATTAGTTTGAAAAGATGTTGGACTTTGCCACTGATGTTCTCTAAATCTGAATCAATGGCTTCTAGTTTCTCCTCTGTGATTTCTAATCGACTCAGTTCATCGATCATTAGATCCGTTTCTTTTATTATCTTTTGCTGTAACTTTGGTGCTTTGGCTTTAACAATTAACTTCTCTCTTTTTATTTTGAAATCTTCAAACAAGCTGTTCGTGTACCTGACTTCGCGATTTTTCAATTCTTTAACCTTTTGCAAGAGTTCTATAACCTGGTCGCGTTTCATTTTGTCGTCTTCCGTACAATTTCGAAATAAAACACATCTGTAATTGCATTCGTTCAGCAGATGTTTTAGGGGTCCTTCTTGCAGGCTAAGCCAATCACAAAAGCTTGCGAATTTATTTTGGCGTACATGAATATCAAAACAATCACCATAAGTCATAATAACTATACAGTAATCGCGTATTATTTCATCTCCAAAAATATTTTTGAGCATACAGATGGAATCTTGTTCTTCAGTTGTAAACCTTTCTCCATACTTTAAAACTAACAATAACGCATGGAATCCATTCGGACATCTCGCCATTGCCTTCGACATATCACAACATGCTTTTTCTGTCGCTTCAGCAGTATCTAATCGAGTTTCTGCTACACCGGGTGCATCGACTACATGTATAGAAAATTCTTCAATTTCTGTCCGAAGTTCTTGGACATCATAAGTGTCCGATGTACCTCCAGATGATGTGTTGAAACGTTCAGCTCTTGCAATGGAATTCGCCGTTGCGCTTTTGCCATGCCCTGTTTTTCCAATAAGCAGCAACTCTAATTTCTGCTTTTTAACTTTTGTATTTGATGGCGGCAAAGGGACTCCATTCTGGTTTTGTTCAGATTCATCGGAACCTTCCTCTTCATAATATTGGTTGTGATCATCAATTAAATTAGTTTCATTGTCTGTTCCTGGTTTCAAATTTTTAAATTTTTCATTTGATTCTATACCTTCAGGCGAAAGCCTTGTTGTCTCATCGATGTCCATAGCTTCAATATCTATTGAATGATCAGAGAGGCTCATAATTTTATCTTCCATTTTATTATCAGAGACATTTACAGTTTCCTGATTGTGTGGATTCTCAGAGTCGATCATAATTTCGTCATTTCTTACAGTACCATCGGGGTTTACAGTTTCCTGATTGTGTGGATTCTCAGAAATGATCAGAGTTTCGTCATCTCTTAGAGTTTCATAGACGTTTATATTTTCAGCAACAGTTGTATCGACTGAATCGTAAATGCTTTCAGCATTTCGTGTATTTTCATTTGTAATGTAATACCATATACTAATAGCGATAATTACGATTGAAGCACCTAGGATAGCTCCAAAATTCCAAACAGCAACTACAATGAAAGTTAGCAACAAAATACCCAAACATGTTTTAATATTGAACTCCATATCATGAATTATTTGGCAGGTATTTTTGAAAATTCTGGGGAAAAAGTGATTGTTTTTACAGATCAGTCGTATACAAATGTTTATTTTTTAATCAAAATACGTTTTACAATTATTTTTATCTTTCTAATGAAATACAGCTTGCTCTTGCATATAAGTAGTCTTTCCCACTGCAAACTACACAATTTGTAACAATAGCTAGCACTAAATCGAATTGCTTTAAATGCAATTCATGATAGTAAAAATTTGTTTTAGATTATTGAAACATTGGCATCCAAATGTTTCGTATTTTAATAGAAATACAAATACAGGATTTGGTAAAAAGGTTTTAACTGCATATGAACTTACCGTTACACCTTAGCGACAAAATATGGCTATACTTTACCAGCGTTGCATTAAAACATGATCAGACAAAACCCCTACGATCTCCTTAACGACAATAGACAACAACCTAAAGTTAGACGTCCGTTTTTCAGGAAAGAAAAGTAGCAAGGAACGCAGTATCCAGCAATCTATTTATAAAGTTTAATATTTCCGATATTATAATTTACAGTAGGTTAGTAACGGACCTCTTTAAGGTGGGTGTATTAGGAAATCAACATCAAGTGATCCAGCATTATATTTTGCTTTAGAACTGCGCATTTTGTATAGAGTAATAAAGTGTATAAAGGTAATTTTTCGTTTTCATCTAGCATTGATAATCATGCTTTACGGTTATAATGTACATTTATCTGTTCCTTATTTAACTTAATTATTTTCACATATACACATTCATATGGGTATAATTATAGACCTACTAATATGCAGTTGTATTTATGTGACTATATCTATGTCCATGTAAATGGGTCTGCGCTTTCTCAATGTTATGCGTAAATCAATGTGTACGTGTAGTTTAAGTAAATTTTGCTCTAACCAGCCAGACCAATAGTATCTATATACTTAATAGGTTTATAATGATATATAGATAATACATGGATGATATATAGATAGTATATACATCACGTTCATTATATAGATGATACATATATTATTTATAGATTTTATATAAATAGATGATATATAGTTGGCATATAAATAGAAATAGATATAGTCAAATGGATACATATATATAAAGATGTACAGATATATAGATATAAAGACGATATTTTGAAGAATAAAACATTTTAAAACACAATAGTGTATTACGAATATTTGCAGAAGAAGAACAATAATACATGCTGCAATTCTTTAACTGCAACATACTGTAATACATTTACATAATTCTTGTTTTACTTTCAGTTGTCTAAAACGTCTGTATAAATCATTAGTTAACATATTTCTATACTAAATGGATATCAGGTGGCTTTTTGAAACTGATTGTGAATATCTGTCTGAATATCTGCGTAGACCTGATATTGATGTTAATAGACGGGATATATATGGAAAAACACTTGCCATTTACGCAGCACAGACGGGGAAATCGCAGCACCTTATTGAGATACTGAAATTTCGACCTAATCTCGATGTGACTGATAGTGATGGGAAGACGGCATTAATGTATGCGGCTTATCAACCTCATATTGGTAATGTAGACAGACTACTGAAACATGGAGCTAATTCAAATTTAGTGAACAAGAACGGTCAAACTGCTTTGATTCTTGCGACATATCAGTCTAGCGAAAAATGTGTAGAGCTTTTGATTAAACATAACGCAGATGCCAATGTGATCGACAAATCGAATAACACTGCATTGACTATCGCGGTTTCAAAATATGATGTAGAGTTGGTTGATATCATTTTGCAAGCTGACATCGATTTAAACAACCTAAAAGTTGCTCTTAACATCGCAAAGAAAAAAGAACTAAACACAATAGCCTCGAAAATCGAAACTGCATTATTACTTGCCGAGGAAAGAGATCGTACATCATCGTTGTCTAAGGCAGTCAAGGATATGACGCTCCCTAATAAATTAAATCTGGCAGATGTTGATGTTGTAGTTAATCAACAAAGATGTAACGATAATATCGAAGTACAAGGATATAAAAGAGAAATGGAAAATATACACATGACTACCAGTTCTGACTCTTTTAAAGGCAACTATACTAAAAGCGTATCGCTATACAGTATGGGGGCATCTATGAGATGCGATGTTAACACAACTTACACTAGATCTGGCAGTACTGTATTCGACAGCAGTATTAAAAAAGAAGATCCAGTACAGTTGATGAAAATAAGGGATTCGAAACATAGTTCACTCACTGCAAGAGATGGCTCTAATAGTCTCACTGCCGGGAATAATCATTCACAATTTGACATTTCATCTTTACTGTTAGCAGCTTATCACGGCAGGGTTGATATTCTTAGTTCAATAATACAGCACGATGCAGACATAAATACTGCAGATAATCGGGGAACAACTGCTCTAATGTTTGCTGTTCTTGCTAACTCACCTGAGTCCATAACATTTCTGTTAGAAAATGGCGCCTCGTTAAATATGAAGGACAACAACGGAGACACGGCGATGGACATTGCTATTTATAGTGGATACCAAAAATGTGTCGACGTTTTAAAAAGACATATGTTTAATGAATGTGGCGATTGGGGCTCTCAATTAGTCTTGGCAGTTGAAAATAATCATATTCAATGTATAACTAGCATTCTAAAATCTGGAGTAGACGTGAATGTGAGAAACGATAAAGGTGAGACGCCGTTAATAAGCGCCATATTGAAACAAAACAAAGAAATTTTTGATGTTCTTCTAAATGAAGGAGCTAGTGTAAACTTCCTTGCTGGAGAAGGCAAGAGCCCTTTAATGGCTGCCGCCTGGGTTGGGAATACGTATTTCCTGGATAAACTTATCCAGCTAAAAGCGTATCCTGATTATCAGGATTTTGAAGGTTTCACAGCGTTAATGTTTTCCTGTATGAAAGGACATGTTGAATGTGTCGAAAAGCTTTTAGATTACGGTGTAAATACTAAAAAGTATGCACGATCAAAAGACACTAAAGGGCGTGCTGAATGTGTTGATAAAAGTTTAGGTTATGGTGTAAATAATACATCATGCACACCATCAGGAGATACTGCACTTTCTATTGCAACTCAAAATGAACATTCAGAATGCGTATTTTTGCTCGATCACTATAACATGCACAAGGCTGTACTTTTACCGAAGAGTACACTTAATGTACACAGCAGTCTGTTTACTGAGTTAATTCTTACTGCAACTCAGAATGGCTACGGATACTGTCTTGAAAAATATCTGAAAGCTGGGGCATCAACGGACGACAAAAATAAAGCTTTACTTTTCGCTTCTTCAACAGGAAGACTGAATATTTTAGAAATGTTGATAAATCATGGAGCTAATGTGAATGTTTATGATGAATTCTATAAGGTAACTCCTTTAATGGAGTGTGCTATCAACAATCACATTGATTGTCTTAAGCTATTAATCAAACACAAAGCTTCTATTAATACCCAAAATAGTAGTGGAGCAACAGCTTTAATATTATCAGCCATACATGGGAGCGAAGATTGCTTATCAGAGTTGATCAAATATAATGCATCTATAGATGCTAAAGACAATAATGAAGAATGTGTTTGATGCAAGCAGTAAAAAACGACAGGATACGTTGTGTGGAGTTGCTATTGAGTGCTAAAGCTAATGTAAATTTTACAGACCAGAATGGAAACACAGCACTAATGATTGCCGCTGAGAAAGGATATTTTAAATGTTGCGAATTGCTCATTGAACACGGTGCATCCTGCCAGAATATTAATAACAAGAATTTAAATGCGTTTCAACTTGCTGAGTTAAATAAACATTCCCAGTGTGCTAAGCTTTTAAAATGAAGTTTTATTTTTCTGTGTTAATAGACTAGTAACATATGATGGCATATTAAGTTTATCATTTAATATATTATATCTCTCAAAGAAACATGTGTTAAAAATGAATTTGTAGGTTTAGGACTATTTTTCATTTCTTCCATTACCTAGATTTCTGTAGTTTTACGCCTTTACTATTTTTTTTTCGAAAATTTATATTGATCCGAAAATTTCATAACATATATCTCAAGTCGCAGCACCTAAAAGATACTATTTTGAAGCAACTGCCTTAGTTTCTCTAAAATGTTTTCATAACGTCGTTTTAAAACATATTTTTCAGCTAATCCAATATAAAGAACCTAAAATTGGTTAGATATTACATCATATCAAAACTAACACCATTTTTCTAAAATAAAATGTTTCCTTGGAGGAAGCATTCGGATCGACTTAGTGGTAAGTGTGATGTATGTAGATGTTTATCTGTAATGTATACATATTTAAAAATCACTGGTAAAAATTATTTTATTTTTTAAATTATTACTACTTAAAAAAAAACTCCATACATTTGATTGTATATAATGCGTACGTTTGTAAAAAAGAGCAATATACCATTTTTATAATAGAAAGAACAATTTTATGTGGAAAATGATTAAAAATAGGCCTCTTTGTCTGTTTATATTATGGACATATAATTTGATTTTTTTCAACTCTTTATTTTCGAGTTAATTGTTAGGCGTTACGCATATTTAAATTAAAACATTTTAACATACGTAGATTAAATCATTCCATTAAAAGAGCTATGTCTGTTATTTTAATTACATATCGAAGAAACGGTGAGCGCCCTGAAATCATAAGTTTAAGCTTTAAAAAAAAAATTTCAATTGCATACATTTGACATTTTCCAGACGCCGTTAAAATTAGAAAAATCATCAACAGTGGTGACCTACAAGGCGTTAGAGATTGGTGTAAGAAATGTGTAGATGTAAATGCAAAGGATAAGTTCGGAAATACGCCCTTGATGTTGGCTTGTATAAAAGGGAAACTGAGCATTGTTCAGCTGTTGTTAGAGAAGAAAGCTGACGCAAAATTGGTTAATAATCATGGGGTCACTGCAATGATGTTTGCTACCTTTTATGAGCATAATGAAACTCTTGAAGTATTACTGCATCATTGCAAGAAAAGATATATTAATATTGACCAGTTATGTGACAAATCAGGTACAGCTCTTATGATAGCAACTTGGAAAGGCAACCTTAATTATATAGAAATGCTATTATCGGCAAATGCAAAGATCAACATCTGTAGGAGTGATGGGGCTAATTGTCTTATTTTTGCAGTTATGAAGAACAATTACATAGCAACAGAGAAATTTACTGATAAATATAATGTGAATTCTCGTTATAAAAACGGAGTTACTGTTCTCATGATTGCTTGCGCGAAAGGTTTCCTAGACATTTCATCGCTACTAATTACAAAATGGTTTGCTGATGTAAACTTGCGTGATTACAAATACCGAAATAGTTTAATGTATGCATGTAATGTCGGCAATATGACATGTATTAAGCAGATTTTACAGGCAGGATCTCCAATTAATGATCAAGACATGCTGAAAATGACAGCTTTAATGTACGCTGTTTATAATAATCACGCAGATGTTGTGACAGAACTTATTTCCAAGAAAGCTGATTTGGAGAAAAAGAACGAAGACGGAGAAACTGCGTTGATAATTGCTGCACAATCCGGTTACATTAAATGCGTAGGAATTCTTTTGAACAATGGATGTGACATAAACGCTTGTGATAACTTGGGACAAACAGCCCTGATGTATGCTGCCATACATGGCAAACGTGATTGCTTGGAGGTGCTTTTGCAAGCTGGAGCTGATACACGTCTAAAAAATAAGTCAGGACTGACTGCTTTTTTCCTTGCAGTAAGTCATTATCAATTTGAGTGCGTATTTAGTCTTGTAATGTCTAGCGGCAGTATGATTCAAAATCGCCTCACTGTAGAACAGGGGGCAATCTCTAAAGAAATATCTTACAGTTCCAACACCCTGACCAAAGCTTCAATGTATAAAACAACAAAAGATGAACACGAATTTCTACTACCTCTCTCTGATGTCAATATGAAGGTGTACCAAGACTTAACTCTTCTGATGTTGGCAACCTACCATGATAACCACCAATGCATTAATTATTTGATAAAGAACAAGGCTGACATAAATACTACCGATCGTGAAGGTGCTACATGTTTGATGATAGCTGCGCGTTTGGGATATATTTTGAGTGTTGAGGCTTTAGTGGCATCCGATGCCAAGCTGGACCTACAGGACGCTGATGGAGTGACCGCTCTATTGATGGCTTTACGCTATGGAAACATTGACTGCGCTCTACATTTAGTACGGGCTGGTGCCGATGTTAACATTCCGGACAAAAATTATACAACTCCTCTAATTGAGGCTGCTGTCTCAGATTATGATACGTGTCTAATTGAAATAATTCAATTCGGAGGTGAAGTAAATAGTGGTGACCGTTTTGGTCACACTGCCTTAATGGAAGCGTCGTTATATGGTCAAACAAAATCTGTAGAAATACTAGCACCTTGTGTGGATATCAATATTAAAAGCCGTCAAGGATTGACAGCTTTGATGCTTGCGGCTAATTATAATCACTTTGATTGCCTGGAGGTTTTGTTAAAGAACAAAGCTGAGGTAGATGCAGTTGACAGCGATGGTGTAACTAGTTTGATGGTAGCTGCAGGGAAAGGTTACCTTTACTGTGTGGAGGTTTTAGCACATGCTGGGGCAAAGCTTGACCTACAGGATAGTGATGGCGTCACGGCTCTGATGAGGGCAGCAAAGTTCGGACACAGTGACGTGGTGGATCGTCTGTTAAAGCTAGGCGCGTCATGTGACATTAAGAACTCACGCAATGAAACAGCGTTTTCATACGCAAACTTTCACAAGCATGAAAATTGTGTACTACTACTCACTTCGTACTTTTCCAATCATGAAACAGTACAACCCCCTGTGTTGTTATTATTGGCACAAGAAGATAAGGATAGGGAACTGAAAGAATGCTTAGAAACTACGGCTGACGTTAACGTGTGCAATGAAAAGGGAGAGACGGCACTGATGCAGGCAGCATTAGCAGGATCTACTGGGTGTTTGATCTTGCTGATAGATGCTGGTGCCAACGTTAACCAAGTCAACCATGACAGCCAGACGGCTTTGTTTATGGCCTGTATTAAAGGAAATGTTAAGTGTTTGGAGTTGCTGATAAATAATTATGCAGACGTCAGAATACAAGATGTCTATGGAGAAACAGCGCTAATGCATGCAGCATTGGCTGGTTCCACTACTTGCTTGGACAGACTAATACAGGCAGGTGCTGATGTTAACCAAATCAACCATGACGGCCAGACGGCTTTGTTTATGGCAACTTATACAGGAAATACTGAGTGCATAGCGCTGCTGATAAAATATGGAGCAGATGTTAACATTCAAGATGTTTATGGGGTAACCGCATTAATGGACGCGGCGAGTAATGACAGCGTAAATTGTTTACAACTATTGATAAGACAAAACAACGATATCAATAGGCAGGATAACGATGGCAACACAGCACTTATGAGAGCGTCTAAGGTTGGAGCGGAGTTATGTGTAAATGAGCTACTAAAAAATGGTGCCAATCTCAATTTAAAAAATGCCACAGGTATCACAGCACTTATGATGGCTGAGGATTCCCAGCAGAGTAAGTGTGTCACAATTATCAAGAACCACAAACGATATGGAACCTATGTATAGTTAGAAAAGTAAACTGCGTATTAAACAAAATTGTAAAATATTCCTAATTTTGAAAATTCTAAATTTAAATAATTAAATTTTTAAATAAATAATATTAGAAACAATATTAAAATCAAATAATTTGAAACATCTGCCATCTCTAGTAACATGATACGGCTTAAAATGAGGATACAAAAAAGATGAATTAATTGAAACTAAACAACAACCATGTAGCGAAAATATAATTGTTGATCGGCAGAAGAAAAATAAGACGCGTATTGTTATATATATATATATATATATATTTATATATATATATATATATATATATATATATATATATATATATATATATAACTGGACAATTTAACACGAAGGTTTCTAGCTGTCGCAAAGCTTTACATCAATGCTAATATTAATGCACATTTTATTAATCATGGTATTAAATATAATTTTAATCAAGAATCATTAAAAAGATTACAATACTTGAATAGACCTACATTGAAAATTGTGTAATGTTTAATTACCAGTTTTTATATTTATCGTATGTATCTATGCAGAAGTATGTATTATTATTATTGTGTTAGAACATTTTTATTAATTCGTTTTCTTTAGCTTTTCTTTTACAGTATCTTTATAAAAATGTATGTGCTTTTGCAAAACTATACAGTTCATATTTTTCTAACTTTGATTAGTGTGATTTTGAAATTATTATCATGTTTTATATTGTTTATGATTTAAATACATTAAAAATATATTTCTTTAAAACTGTTTCAAAGTGACATTAAATAAAGTAAAAATCAATATGAACTTTTGATTTCTGATTTTCTTTTTCAAAGTTGTTTGTTTCGGCAATGTTGAGCATAAGAGTATAGGATAAAAACAAACTTATAACCGTTTATAATTGTTATCAATACATTTTCTCACCATACACTTTGATTGCTTGAACTTTACTTAACATGATAGAAACGTTTGAGCATTGTTTTCATTAAAAATGTATTACTAAAACGAAATCTTAAAAAAAAAATCTCTTTTAAACAAACTGAATAAAAGATGTTTTAATAGCAAGCTGGAGAAAATAAATGATTTTCTTTCAAATATATAATAACACACAACTACTTTAATTATTACTAGCCGTCCCGGCAAGGGCCGGCACTGGCCTCGATGAAAAACCTACCTGTAAAGGACCAAAGACATGATTGTTTAGTAATCAGCATAAATCCGACATTGCCCACCCTAACCATAACCAACCAAAACCAAAACACAAAAAACGCAAACATTACTCAAACATAAACACAAAGAAAACACATACATAAACGCAAAGATAACGAAAACGAAATCAAACTCAAATCCAAACACAAACACAAACCCAACTACAAACGCAAACACAAACCCAACCACAAATGCAAACTTTTTTATCCATAATCTATCGCGCTGTTTAAAACAAAAAAAAAACGCACCATAGCGCTCAGAAGATAGCCCAGGGCGCTAAATAAAACCCTGCCGGGGCGCCGGCGACGCGCCTTATTCACTTTAATGAACGACTATAATATCACAAGCTTATCCGCTAATGGAAATATGGAAGTAACCTTCCATGGCTTGTAAACTGAAAGAGATTACAAATAATGTTTAGTAAACAGTACGTTCAGTGTATAAAATAAATAAAAGGCAGTATTTAAAATACCTACCACATTTCACTTGATCAATCCCCGCTAATTTTGTATATATTTTATTTTTCCACAACCAAATACAATATAATAAAAAGTACCCCCCCCCCCCCATGTAATGTTTTTTTAAGGGGAAGTAATTGTGTTTTCATAATTCATTAAGGGACGTAGTGATTGCTAAAGGACTAAAAGTAAATAATTTTCAGACATAATTAGAATTTTTTTGAAGGGTGATACATTTTCTTTAATTTTTGTTTAATGCACGTGACGTCAATTAACACTATAAATTTGGGAAATAGAAATTCGTTTTATAACACCTTCAATATTAATTTTTATATCATTAATTTAAACGAAATTTAGTACCTCAATATATGTAATACAATAGTGTTGCATATATAAAATGTCCAGTTAACGGAAATCGCTTATTATTTTATTGAAAACTACACATTTTATGTAGGCTAATACATATATATGAAATTTAGTCAACCTAGTTATCGTGTTAACGTACCGACAGACAAAACAGACAAATACGCTACTTTTTTATGGATGCTGATTCACATTACTTTAATTCCTATTCTTCCCCCCTTATACTATACCCGTGCCTCTGTTTATATATGTATTTCCTTTAAACTGTATCAGTGTGTCTCTATTTGTATCCCACAGTATCTCTGTTTCTCTTTCTATCAATCTCTGGATTTCTCCGACTATGAATCCTTGAATCTCTCACTGAATCTCTATTTCGCTCTATCTTTCTATTTTTCGCTATTTTCGTCTCCTTATTTCTAGTCTCCCTAGTTCTGCTCTGTCCATGTTCTCATTACTTTATCTCTCTATCTCATTCAGTCTATCTCTCAATGTTCTAAATAGACCTTAATCTCCAAGCTTCAGCGAGCAAAAATTTACATTTGTATAAATGTAAAATAACTATTTAAAGTCTCAACAGTTTATCGATTAATTCCTGCGTGAAATGTTTTGCTAAAGACAAGCCTAAACAAATTAGAGCTTGCTTCACTGTTATTGGCTTACAAAAATAGAACTTGCAGATAGGCCTATTTAACTCAAGCTTAGACACGAGTGTGTCTCGCAACACTGCATTATCGATCTACTGGGTTCTAAAGATTTTCATGAAAAGATTCGTTTTTCAAGAAAATGAGGTTTATTATTAGGGTTTTTCCAGATCGTAAACATTTACTACTGTGCAATTTTCTAGAAATAAATCTATATAGAGAACTTTAGTCCGGTTTGTGTTTAGTTGGCTACGCCTAGCTGAACAAATGTGTCAAAATTATTCGTGTCCAAGCTTGAAAAAATACAACCTTTATATTTACTGGTACCTTAAATAAAAGTAGGAATGTTTTTTTTTTTACAAAATTAGTCGTCAATATTTCAAATATCAATGCATATTTTAAACAAACTTTCAATATTTTAACTATTTTTTTGAAAAGTGTAATAATCCAGATGTAATCCGAATCTAATAATGTATAGAATCTAAAAGCAACAAAATTAATTCTTAACGCCAAATCGCTTACACTAATTAAAAATGTGTTACTACAAACACATTTAAAAAAATAACTCATAAAAAAAGGTATGGGAAACACTGATGTTATAATCTATATAGGTCTATATAGGTCTTGCTGTTTTAGTACAAACATATTATTTGATAAAAGTAACCCCGACCAGCTATGTATTACTTTCGCGTAAACATACTAAAAATAATGTATTCAATAGAAAAATGATATTCAATCATATACAAAAATTCTATTAGTAATAGATTTTCTTGAAAAAAAAACCTTCGTGTTATTCAAATGACTAAGCACGGCTACCGTTCTTTTATAAATTCAATTTGAATAAGTTGAATGTTGTCACCTGGAGGTATTTTACCCTGAACAGGTTTTTACGCGTACTAAATAAGCTAATGCCTGTTTGTGTTTTGCTTTGGATACCAAGCCTTCTTAACAAAATTTCACACACACACACACACACACACACACACACACACACACACACACACACACACATACACACATATATATATATATATATATATATATATATATATAAATATATATATATATATATATATATATATATATATATATATATATATATATATATATATATATATATATATATAGGCCTGTTTTACAATCGAATGCTTTCACAGTTATAAATACAAGTATACGGGTCTACGCCAAATGGCGGAAAAGAACTAACCCAAGACGTTTGCTTTCGAATTTATGTTTGATTATGTATTTGCATTAGTGTTTGCGTTTTTATTCTGGTTACCATTACGTTTCCTTTGGTTTTCGCGTTTATGTTTGAATATACCTTTTTGTTTATTTTTGCGTTTGCTTTGATGTTTGTGTTTGAATTTGTATTTGCGTTTTTTTGTTTGTGTTTTAGTTTGCGTTTGTGTTTGCTTTATGTTTTATTTTGCGTTTGTGTTTACGTTTGTTTTTGGGTTATGTTTGCGTTTGTGTTTGTGTTTTGTTTCTGTTTGTTTGTGGTAAATCAGCAAGTAAATTAAAAAAAAAACAATGTGTTTGTTCCACTGCTAAGACCATTCTGGCTTTAAAAATAATTTCAAACTTTATATTTGCAGCAAAAGTCTATATGTTTAATTTACTTCTACAATTAGAGTCGAAAAATTATCATATAAGATATTACTAAAGTATGATTTCATTCAGTGGCGTAGACACAGAGGTGTAATAAGACCACAGTAGCAGAGTGTGAGGGGGGGGGGTTGTGTCGGTAGGGGACCACCCCGTATTAATAAGACCACACGCGCTGTCGCAGTTTTGGTAAGCCTTGCACTGAATCAGCCTATAAAATTTGAATGTGAGATACGACTTCGGCACCCGTACATTTCACGTATCGCTAGAAACCTCAACTCAGTGGGAAACTCCCTACCCCCTCCCCCCCCCACCACCGCCACCCAGAAATCTGCATCTCCCTTCTGTCTCCCTTATATGTACGACTAGGTTGCAGTGTTTCTTCCAGACTTTTTTCTCCGGGGGGGGGGGGGGGCACTTGAAATTTTCGGGGGGGGGCGGTAAACTTTCTTCGGGGGGGGGGGGGGGGGGCGGACACTGTTAAAAGTATATATTTTCTATATAAATTATATAAATTTCATTTCGTTCGAGGGGGGGGGGAGCGGTAAAAAAATTTCGGCCCCCCCCCCCCCCCCCCGAAGAGATGCCTGGAAGAAACTCTGCTAAGTTGCAACAATGCGGACGGGTATACCAGTTCTATATAAAAACTGCTTTAACATTCGATGGTGATAATGGAGAGTTTGATGTCTAGGATGGGATTTTTAAATCCGATTTTTTGCATAATATGATGATGTTATGAAACAAATTGTAAATATGCCTTTTGGGTCAGTAAATTGGCCAGCTAAAATAGATCTCAAGAAGCTCATTAATAATTTTGCAAATTTAAAAGCAATAAAAAGAAATCAAATCCAAATAAATTATGATACAGTTTTTAAAAACGAAGTGTCTACTCGGAATAAGATTTTTCGGCAAAAGATAGTTCTGCGCATGC